CTGGCCTGAGCCCGGGTGGGTGCCAGAGCGATCTCGAAAATGATAAGAAATATAAATTAAAAAATGAAACTTTGAATTAATAACAATGGGAAACTGTTTTTCATAATCTGCATCTTGCTAAAGACCTTTATTAATTATGATAGGATTGGATGCCGTAGTAAAACTACTATATTATACAAATTAAGATTAGGAACAGTGGAAAGCTCAACTCCAACAATAGGATATAATTTAGAATAAATATCAAGTAAAAAGTTTGACATAATTTCTTGGGATATTGGAGGAGCAGATAATTAAGAAACCTTTGGAAACATTACATGAAGAATAGTAAAGGAATAATTTATATTATTGATTGTTCTGATAAAGAACGAATGGATGAGACGAAGTCCGAATTATATCGAATGTTGCTTAACCCTTTAATGCTTGGATAACCCCATTTAATATATTCAAATAAATAAGACTTAGTAAAAATGAAATCAGAAGAATTAGAAGTTGAATTAAATATAAACAAAATTTGTAAAAATTGGCATATATAACCAAGTAGCTCAATTACTGGTGAAGGACTTTAAGAAGGATTGAACTGGATTTAAGAATAACTATAATTATAGCTAAAATGAAATACATAATATATGTTTCCTTTAAAAACTATTTCTCCATTTTGATTATTTACACCTTATAAGCTGCCAATGATTTTATTTACAAAATTATTAAGAAAATTTTTCTTGTTAGAATTGAGAATTTCTTAAGGCTTCATCAAATTTAATCTAGATTATTTAAACTAACTCTGACTATATTTTTACAAAAAATGATAATAATACTTTGAACTGAGCAATAATGGTTAAATTAACTATTTTATTTATTCCTGTTAGCTCTAATTGTTATTATAATTATTTTATCTCCGCTTTCTTATTCAAGCTTTTAAAGTTAAATTATTATTCTGAACATTCCATGCATAAATCCAGGCAGATATTAGTATAAGCAATTAACTATTTTTCTTTTTTAGATAGAATTTTCTTCAATGTTTAATTTGAGATAAGGATAGTAAATCCAGAATGAAAAGAATTGCTTGGATAATGGAGGTAAAAATCGCATGAAACGTAGTTCTTTGATTTTATCCTATTGATAAAATCAGACTACATATAAACTTGCCTAAATTTTCATTTATTTTTGTATTACAACTCAAACGTTAAATCAGTATTTGGCAGTTAAAAATTATTTTTTCATAACTCTGATAAAGAATGGTTTTAGATAAATAATTAAAGTTGTATCAGGAATTCATCTAACTAAGGTTTTTGGACAAAAAATAATGAATACTAACTTTCCTTGATACAAGTGCTTCGAAATTAATATCCTCTAACTTTACTCGTGTGTAGCGGGAGGATAATCTTGCTTATAAGAGTCATAAATTTTGCAGCGTAGCAAAATTAGTATTTAAAAAGAATATATGTATGACCATAAAAACTATAGAAGTAGTAAAATTTGTACTTATACAGTTAGAGTAACTACTTAGTGAATCAATTATGAAAACTTTTAATCTTTTCATTAAGATAAACACACAAACTATAATATTTTCATTTTTCTGGTAAGTAATTGCCTTCTGAGCTCTCCAGTGTACTTTTTTATGTAGAGACTTGATGAAAGCTTATCTAATGGTTGAAGTGTAGTTTTAAAGGGTAGGGCTGAGAAATCTTTATGTGAGTAAGGAATTCATGACTAAAATAAATAAGAATTTGAAGATAGATTTGATAGTGATATTATTATTTAAGGGATAGGCTTTATTGATGAAGATCTTACCAGCATTTGGTGTATAAATATTCTTGTTATACATGTTCTTTAAGAAACTTAGATAAAGTTCAAAATTTTTGAAAAGCTTATTTTTGGCATTAAGAAGTTGGTTCTCTATATCTGAATAATCATCTTTACTGTTCAGTACAACAAGTTCTCAGTTCTCAACATGTTAAGTATTTTTCATGTAAAAACTACAATAGTGCAGTACAAGCAATATACTTATCATTTTCATGGCTTGAAGATTTTTTATGTCTTACATTTATAAAATGATTTTTTTGATCTGTGAACACTAATATTAATTTCGTGATAGATGTAGTGCTGGGAAGGTTATGAGAAATAGGTGTAGCAGTACGAAAGAGATGAAGAGTATTTATTGGAGAGAATATGAGGAAATGATCAGTATCATCTTTTATTAACTTAGAAATTGACGATTTCTCTATTTCCCTTTGAAGGGATTTTAATTTATTCAATATAGATGTGCCAAAATAGACATATTTAGAGTAAAATAAGCTTGGATTATAATAAAATAGTAGTAATATAAAGGTCAAGTTCTAACGAAAATCTGTATCTAAATTAATATATATTTATTTATTTAATTCTCATGCTTTGGAACTAGTTAGCATAATAAAAATTACGAGATTAAATAGTCTACTAATATACTTATATGTTAAAATCAGTTATATATTTTTTTTCTTTAGTTTGATTTGACCATACAGAAGATGACTAAAATATGAGATGTATAAGTTATGCTGGTAATAAATTTTATTATTTTATTGAGATCATTCGAATTATGATAACTGTAAAAAATCAATGAATCACATGTCAATTAATTTTGTTATTTATTTTAATCGTCAGTTTTTGCTTTACAATATTTATTTATAATGTTTGTTTACAAAAATTTATCCATGCCGATTGAAATAATGATAAAAGGTTATTTTTACAGATAAAAGATCTAAAGATGAAGATAGAAGTATTTTATAGAATCAGTAATGTAAAACATATTGCTTTGCAACATTGGCATATGGACCATATAGAAAGTGATTGTCCCTCAAATAATGATAATGGTGGTGTAAATATATGCTGTTTGAAGTTGGAGCTTAGTCATTCCAATTACTTTGATAATTTCACTCATACCTTTTTTCTAATCCTTAATCTAAGTTTCAACTTTTTTTAATCTGAATAATTAGAGATGAACCAGAGCACAAATGAAGCGGTGTATGATCTCTGAAATCTCTACACACTAAATTGAAAAAATACGGATATTTTTGTAAATGGAAAAGTGAGCAAGCCAATTACGATGATATACAGTGCTCTAAGAAGTAAAATGCTATTGAAAAAAATAGGAAAGGAGATGGATGAACTTCATCTAAATATTAAAAAGAATAGAAAAAGGTAAGAATCTGACTATCTTTTCGAATAGTCTAAGCCAGGATATTGGTCTCTGGTAAGATAAGTACCCTAGTCTAATTGTTTGATATATATATCATTAGTTTAATAGAGTACCCTTGATTAAAAATTAGTTTACATTTCTTTCAGTTTTTGTTAAATGAGTGGTTTTACTGCTTGTTTAGAATGATATTTTTTTGATTAGTACATTGAATAAATCATAGTGAGAACTCTAAAGCTAATGAAAAATAATTGTTTTTTTATTCTGAATAAACAAAACCATAATAGATATTATTCTATTCAAACCATTTTTCACAAATTCCATAAGTATTATTACATTAAGTTTTAATTGAGATATCAATTATGACTTAAAAGTGGAACCAAATTTACTTAACAGCTACCTTAAAGATAGCATTGCTATTATTCATTAACAGAAAACGAAGGGCCTCATTCTTTATTTTATGCTAAATGTTAAATTTTGCATCTATCCGATCACTGGATTGTAGAATATTTATTATTTCATAAAAACACCATATGTCCTGCCGAATAGTGTATAAATGAGTATAAGATAGGGTTTCAGAAGTAGTTATGCTTTTTAGTTAGATTAACTGATAATAATGATAACTTCATCCGGTCTACATTAGCATCTGTAGTAATGATAAGTTTATCCGTTTATGGGTGTTAGAACAGCAAACTCTTATCAAGATAATTTTTATAAAGATTTTTCTTTGTTTCAAATGACTTTTAAAGTCCATCCATTTAGAAAATGGTTATTACTTAAGCGGAATTGATCATACAATTCCAAGAATATGTCAAAATTCGAAATTGGAAGCTTAAGGAGCTTTAATGTTGAAAAGAGAATTTCTCAAAATTAAGTTATTGATTTGCGATAATTATTCAAATCTAAAGGCAGCTGCATTTTGGAATCTTTATAAAGTGAAATGTATTACAATTTAAATACATTCTAAATATCTCCTAAAATTGTTAATTAATCTGGTCTTTCCTTTCTTAGTTTCTCTGCTTTTTCATTTCTACAATCAAAAGTCATGAGTCAATTTAAAGATATGCCTGAATTTGTTATTTTTTCTTTGTCTAACTATTTATGTAAATTATCAATATTGAAATCTATCAACTCAGAAATTCTTTTTTAGAATATGTGTGACAATCTGTTTTCAAAATTATTCTCCTTCATAAAATTTGTTTAATTAAAACAACGTCAACTTTCCACCACAGCTATCAAAATTTAGTACCTTATATTTTTTATATTTACCAAATGAGAATTTTCTTGATAAAAAAGTCAAATACATGAATCTCTTTAAATTAGCAGTTTATGAAGTTTCTATTGTGTATATTAATAACGGCTGAAAAACAATAAGAATAGAAGGGGTCAAGTGAGTGGAAATTAAGTTAATTTAGTCTAACATCCTTCCAGTAAAGTCTTCAATTATTTTCCCAGTCCAAAGAGTTCCAAATGCAACAATCCTTCAAAATCCTTATTCATCTAATCAAGAATCAACAGATATACAAGGATCTAGTGAGGAGAATTTTATGCTAGCAGAAATAATTCTTCTTTACAATTGAGGAATCAAGGATTAAAGTAATCTTTAATGATTTAAATTAAAGGATGAGACAAATTTTTAGGCATCATCCTAAAAATATCTTAGAACATATGAAAAAAGTTACAAATGTCATGAAGTGGAGGAGGGACAACTTAAAGTAAGAAAAAATGAAGACAATATTTTAAATATTCTCAAAGATAAAGTGAAAAATCATTAAGAAGCAGCGATAGTACTGCATGGATTGAGAGTAGAGAGAGAAAGATGCCCGAATATTTGATGCCTAAACTAGGAATCTAAAAGAGATTCAAGTACTTCAATAATACAAAAATAATATTCTATAGAATATAAAGAAGGTAAAATAATAATAATCATAATAGTAATTATTTTGTTTCAGCCTCAAAATTTATTTTTAAATAATTCTCTTAAAGAAATTTTCTTGTAAACTCTAAGGAATTTTTCTTTTAATTCCA